CAAATTTGATGAAAATAAGGTGGTATATGACCCATTGTCGAATTCATCGGGAAAGTTTGCCTATACCACCTTATTTGCGACAAATTTGCTTCAGCGCGGCAAAAGCACCTAATTCTCTAATGGTTTGCAAAGTTCATTGGACTGTTTACTCAATCTGTTGGATTTGGTTTTGGTAAACTGTTTTTATTTAGAATAAGAAATAACTAGTAATGATCACAAGCGAGTGGGGAAGCACTCATGATAGTGTTCATTATTTTGTATAGATGAAAAGCAGAATATAAGCAACAACAAAAAGTGTGAAGCAAAAATTTGGACTGGACGGGATTGAAAAAAATAGTTTTCATGGACTGGACTGGACTGGACTCAAAAATCTGAGTTCATACAGAGCTCTGGTGACTAGTGATCATTGCTTCTGCATCTTCGGGTCGGATCAGCCTGAGTCATAGATGCATAGCCTCATAGAAATAAAGATTTAATGTGATTACGATCTGCATAGATGAAAAACTTCATCTAAACATCTGAGCGGTTTCGGAGCAGCTATCTTGCGTGAAAAGTTATTAAAATGAACAAATGCACTCACCCTCTATAAACAGACTTCAAAAACATCCTACAAAACTGCCGATACCGGCTAATCTTCTTTGGATTCTAACTCACTGCCGATGATCAGTGTAAGCAATATGTCTAGAGCAGGTTGGTGTACGTCGATTTTATGTAACTCCTTAGGAGTTACTATTTGCCAATCTCTCTTTCTGAGTTTACCAGAGTTCCGATCTTGGGACTATTAGAAAACATGATAGATGAAGAAGACGGGTTCACGTTGGTGGATTGTACATGCTGTGTGTTTTTACCAATAAGTAGAGAATGATGGGCTGTTAGTAAATCATGAAATTTAAATTATTTTCAGTTTCTCGTTGAAATGATGTGCTTTTACATATATTGCGCACAGCATTTTATCTCTTTGAATTTTATATTTTTTAGATCCCTTTCTCATTGTCATAGAAAAAACTTTCTATCAATTAGCTCGGTCCGTTGTTACCGTAATCAGATAGAATTTTATGCAATGAACGAAATGAAATGTGAATGAATTTTTATGACAGTTATGACTGATTATGACCAGCCGTAACAACTGAGCGCGTAGTTGATGATTAATCTAATCTTCAACATGACTGTTGTACAGTTTTTGAAACGTTTATCATATCAGTGATTTTACTTGAACCCCTTGATTTACACCCTTTCTTCCATCGTGGGTGGGGACATTGTGTGTATGTCTTACATCTTCTTGTATTTTAAATCATTCGATATCTAATTAGTACCAAAGTTCGATGAGCTTTTAAGGGTTTGAACACCGATGCTAAAATAAGGTACCAGTGATATTTCCGAACTTTTATTCTTAGCCAACGCTACCAGACAAACTTCAACCAAACGAGCCACAACCAGACATGCTTCAAGCAAACAAACTTCAACTACACGAGCTACAACCGGACATGCTTCAAGCAAACAAACTTCAACCACACGAGCTACAACCAGACAAGCTTCACCAAGCCAAACAAAAGGAATATCAGGTAAACCAATACGCAGAAAATCTGACAAGTCTAACTAACAAACTCATATAATGAAATGCTCTATAATAGAGGAAGAGCAGAATAGCGCTCGACCGGAATATATTTTTTGATGTTCCCTTAGGGAAATTCAGACAGTAGAAGCAAATGAATCCAGTACAATTTATGACGTGGTATTATGCCTTACGTCAGGATGCAGCCGGATGCAGTTCCTAGGGGCGGCCGTTAAATTCTGTAAGATAGCAAGCTGACATGGTCGCCTATCTCGTACTAATTATGAAGCATTGCTCTGGATAGAAAGCTAGCCTAATGCAGAGCTCCTTTGCCCAGTTACTTGACCTACCCGTACACACTCAATAATCACTTATTAGTCTTCTGGAAAGCTACAGCAACCAACCAGCTATATTGTGCGTCAAAATATAATGAGTGTGACGTCGGACGGGTGTAGAGATACTAATTAAATAAGTAACGTGTCTAGGATTATTATATGATATGGGAACAACTGATGCGGTAGTCATACTGCTAGTTGTTGTTTAGATACTCAAATACAAACCACGAAAATGACAAGCTCCACAACAAGCTCCACAACTAGCTCCATAACAAGCTCCACAACAAGCTCCACAACTAGCTCCATAACAAGCTCCACAACAAGCTCCACAACAAGCTCCACAACAAGCTCCACAACAAGCTCCACAACAAGCTCCACAACAAGCTCCACAACAAGCTCCACAACAAGCTCCACAACAAGCTCCACAACAAGCTCAGTGACAAACTCAGCGACAAGCTCAGTGACAAGCTCCACAACAAGCTCCACAACAAGCTCCACAACAAGCTCCACAACAAGCTCCACAACAAGCTCAGCGACAAGCTCAGCAACAAGCTCCACAACAAGCTTAACGGCAAGCTCCGCGACAAGCTCCACAACAAGCCCAACGATAAGCTCAACCACAAGCTCAATGACAAGCTCAATAATAAGTTCAACAACAGCGACGGCCACTGCTACCAGTAAGACCAAATTTTGTTTTTTAGTTTATCGGTCTGGAATTCAGATTTTCAAGCTATTTCTACCAAGATGTTATCGAACATTGAGCTCGAAAATTTTCTGCACATAATCAATGGGTGATTTTCACAGATGAAGGCAGTTTTTTTCGTATTTATATTACAAAATAGATACAACTCACGGTGGGCATTTTTTGCTAGAGCAGACGGACTTCAGCTTTATGAGTGAACTAAAATTTCATGAACCATTTTTTATAGGTTTTTCATGATCCTCTTTCTAATGGCATGAGAGTTGGGTTTTGAAAAAGTTTTCTGAGGAGTTTTCCCGAAATCCGGTCTCTGGAAAACCCTTCAGAAATCTTTCTCAATATTTAAAAACGATGCCACTGGAATGAGCATTGTCGAAAACCTATAAGAAACATGTTTCGAGTCGTTCAGGTTAGTTTGTCTTGAAATTCAAATTTTCAGCACGAAATTGTTTGTGTGAATCTCAAAAACCAAGAAATTTCTAGAATTCAAAATCAAGCGACCGAAACTATATGAGTTATATACCAATAGCTGCTT